GGAGTAGTACGGATTGTCCTAGACAGTACCAGAAGAGTCCGGAAGCATAGCTATAGTACACGAGCAGAGAGTCCCAAATATGGTAACATACTACATAAGCGACTACAGCTAAGCGCTAGGAGACGCATAGCCTCGTGTAGTCCGGACCGGATAAGTCCAAGTTCAACACCATTTGTGCCCGCTTGCCCTCGAACTTCTTCACGTAAGACCCCACAGGCATCCGGAAAGCCCAGTCTTGACTCTTGACAAGCAGATAGAACAGATCCTGCGAACATACGAAGTCATAATGCATGCAGGCTTCCTAACAGAGCACGACTCGCTGCAGACTTGTCGACTATAATTCATCCCGTTAACTAGTTAGACGCCCCAATCACGTGCTTTTTAACGCTGTGACATAGTAGTCGGTTGTGCGCGCGGCCAATCTTACAACTTTGCTGACATTTTGCTTGATCGTGACAGCGGAGAGTAGTCATAGTCATGAAGGTGGGAATACACAAAGGCATTAACCAACTGATTCAAACGGCCTATACCTCAACTATGGTGGTGGTGGCGAGCACCTTACCATCCTTACCACTGACTCAATCGGCGTAGTCGCCTTCGGTGAAGGCATCTTGGTGCATCGTTCGGTAAAAGTCCCAAAAACGTCGTCCTCGTCGGTTTGGCCAAGGCCCACTGGGGCAAACACCTTGTTGAGAAAGATGTGAACGGCTGCGCTGACGACGAAGCCCAAGGGCCACGCAAGATCGTAGCAGCGTGTCCAGCCTATCGAGACTCCTATTGGGTTTGAAGAGACGGCATTGACAAATCCCGCTGTAGTTGGGTATCAGTAGACTGAATGGAGGTCGTGGATAAACCAATTCAATTGAATAAGACTCACGCATGAGAGGCCATACGCCAAAGATCCAAGCCACAAGGGCCCGGAAATTGACACCATACGCGAAGTAATAGATGGAACCCGAGTTAGGCATGTATAGATGCGACAAACGAAGTTTGCTTTGCCTGACGACGAGATAGTCGGACGTCATGACACCCTAAACGGTCTTGTAAATGTGTCATCAACAGCTGAATTCAGGAAACGACGGACTGTCAAGGGCCCCAGGAACACCGCAAAGGAACTGAGTACGGTTAAGAAAGCACTGGAGCCTGTGAGAAGTTTCCAAGGACAGATAGCGATTCCGAGCGCAGCCGTGAGTAAGGCACCCCTACAGTCAAAGCAATGAGTACCTAGCCACAAGAGAGATATTGACTTGCTAACCGTCTGATATTGAGATATTTGGGGAGTAACCCGGAGAGGTCTATACCGCCGGAGATCGCGTTCCCGGCGACATTGATACCGAATTGCGATACCACGAATGCACAGCCGGCAAAGAAGCACGCCGCTCTAGCACCTGGACCGCCGCGAAGCTGTACGACCCGCAACAGGTCATACGGGGCCCACAGCAGTCCGTCATCGGGGTAGAATCCCGCGGCACAGCTCGTAACAATGATGCCGAATAGAGCAATCATTACGTTGCTGAGCGGCACGATGAGCATTTGGCTGACGAGCTGTGCTCGGGGGTATGCAGCAAACCGCGAGTAGTCGCTCTGGTTCAGTATGCCCGCGCAAATACCTCCGATGGTCGAGCTTACGCCATACGCCATAGCCCAGCCCAGTTGGGACCCTTCGGTAAGTGGCTTGACGCCGCTGAGCTGGCTGGGATGACTGAGGAGGGGGCCGCCGCCACCTTCCTTCGCTAGGGCCCATGTGAAGATCGCGAACGTGGTGACCGTCATGATGATACTGCCGAAGAGGAAGGGCTTGCGGAAGTGTTCTGGAGGTATCGTCAGGAGTGGGACTGACATCGCTGCGAAAATGAGAATCCCGACGAGGTCGTTTGTCCTACCAAAGAGCAATCAGGCCCTGTTAAGCTTGACAACTCATAATATGCACCACTCACTGAATACCCGCATCTGGAGGCAGCGTATTACGCAAATAGTAGAAACTAGGCCAGATGCTGCCTATAACAACCTTGACCTGAGCAACCATTCGCAATCAATAGATGGTTTCTATGTCGAAATGCCAAGATGCCGACTCACGCTCTTTCCACCGCTGTCGGAATCAAAGTAAATTGGCGTAGTTCAATGAATGCATATACTCACTCACAAAACGAGCTGTACGCCATACCACACGAGCGACAACAATATCCGCATCAGCAAAGGGAAGAAGCTCCCAAACACGCCCCATACGAAGCGGTTATAGATAGGGAATCCGACATGCCACTCCGCACCGACGAATCCGTTCGCAACAACCGCGCAAGCGACGATAAGGTATCCCACTACAACGGAGACCATGGCCTGCCAGACATTGAGGCCTAAACCAAGGAGGCTGGACGCGGTTGTCCACCCGCTGATGTTGAATCCTGTTAGAAGCCAAAAGCCTACAAATGACCAAGAGCCCCAAGTACGACGCGAGGGAGGGAGAGGAACAATGTCTCGATTGATCCATGCTGTCGCCTCGCCTTCGTACTCGTTCTCGCGTTCCACCTCTAGTCGCTTCACAAGCTGCAAGATGCGTGATTTTGGAGTGGTCATGTTCGTGAGTCTGGACGAAAAGGAATCAATCAACGACAAGCGCAATGCGATCTGTCTTTGAGGGTGCGGGCCAAGTTCCTATCATGTATAAGGAGCGGCACCGCGATAAGACGGGTCTCGTGCGCGTCGGTCGACGGTGCGAGACGAGAGATAACGAGTGTGCACATGACGAGTTCGCCAACGTGTCGGTGGGCGATCCTGCTCCTGGTAATCAGCTGATGTAGTTCTTTGCCAGCAAAGGCCCTTTGTCTCATCAGCAGTGTCCCGGCGGATATGCATGAAGTGCTGGTGAAGAGTACTTTTGACCGGTACACCAAACACCGTACTCAGCCGGAACGCACGTCCTCTCCCGCGCCTCTCTCGTTCTATCCGTGCTACTGAAGATGTGTACAAGTTCGATGTTGACAAAGAGGCCCTGTGGGAAGAGATGCAGTGAAACAAGATTCAATGTTAAAAACGGACAATTGAACCCACTAATGAGCGTAGAAGCGCAGCCGCACAGAAATCGGTCAGTCCTATGTTATGAACAGCAGGTTTTGGAGACCACGACGCCCCGATGCGGATCGGCTGGTGGACGAAGACATGCGCAGAAGGCGACGCACGAGTACATATGTTGGGGATAGGCAGCGCCCGGGTTAACCGAGGAGGCGCGCGTCAGAGCGCCCGGCCTTCGCTTATGCCTCGGGGCTCGAATTGCATGATAATCTACGGCTTGATTAGACGGCAGGACGGCCAAATGGAATGCTGGTGGCTGAAGGGCGGTCAACGTGTAAAAGAAAGATCTCTCCCCGAAACCTCCCATTATGACTGTCGCGGCGACTAGGCGCGTAGACTCGGGTCGACGTTCGGCGACGACCCCGTAGGCGAGCGGCGAGGAGCCGAAAGGGGGAAAGCGAGGGAAAGAGGGATAAACGCAACAAGAAACTCGACGGGGCAGAGCGGAGGCCGGCACGAAGGCACAAGACCTACGAAGCTAGTCTTCACGCAGATAGCGACAGACTAGTCCCAATGACCAAGTTATACATTAGCAATCGAAGAGAGATACAACACTATGGTCACTCACCTAGTCCCAATGACCAAGAGGTCGAGATGGGGACTAGGGAGCGCCTAGGGGGGTCCTTATATACTAGAGGGGCTGCTTAGCAACCAAGGACAAGGCGCGAGAGCGAGGCAGTGAAGATGACAAAGGGGACAAAGGGCGAGAAAGAAAAGGC